GTAAACCACCATATTGTGCATACAAACCAACTTAGTAATAAGCAAAACAGCTCACAGTTGCTATGACGGTTTCAGTAAGCCACGTTGGTCTTACAGGAAGACCAAACTGCCTTCACAAATGCACTTCAACCAAACATTCCTCGCGAATCATCGCGCCATTTAATGACGTCCAAATTGTCACTTCGATGATATTTCTACTGGCACAAATGCTAAAACCTAATGATTTGGATTTACAATGCCATACCGAAAAGTGCTAGCAGAATATTAATTGCATAACAGAGTCCAAACGGAAATGTAATATTATGCAGCCGGTGTACCACGGTCTATGTGCCTATCATTCAGATCTGCAATTCTGTTGATGGTCGCGAGTGTAGCTCAAACCGCATTGCCTGAATATCACTGTAGCAATCCACTAGCAGCCCATGCCCAAGCAAGCATAATCGGTTGTACAGTTTTGCTGAGTGTTTCTGCGTCCTCACATTTCCTCTAACATCGAAGTAATTGCTCTAAGCTTGGGGAGACAAGCGTGCCTAGTGAGACATAGCACACCACCGTCAATGCGTAGTGTGTTTCGTGCCTTAGAGTAGCTAAACCCATTTCACAGGACTACTGTTAGATAAGCGGATCCGCTGAAAGAGTTAGGAAATCAATGGTCAGAATTATGAATTATGAGTGGTGTGTTAACTCTGAAAACACAAGGGGTCAACCGTGCCCACTGTACCTCACCACACCTCCATTAGTGCTTGATGTGGTTCGGGAATGCGTAGTTGCCAAAACAAACCCACTTACCATTACTTTGATATCATGGCTGCGCAAAGAAAACTTACGGGTTTGACAGTTCTTGCTCAGTGAGAGACGTGCAGAGAGGAGTGAGCCGGGTGGACAGGCATGCGGACGGACAAACACCAGTGCATTGTATGCCTGCAAGTCTGCTCGTCTGGACAAACACACACACACACACCCCACGTCGCCGATACCAGGTGGGAGGAGTGGGCGAGCCAATCATT